AACGCTAACCTTGCTCGAGGTGACTTCTGGCATGGAGGACAGGAAGGCGGGTGGGGAGGCGGTTATTGCTTGGAGGGAGAGTCCCCCTCCCTACAGGAAGCCACGACCACGTGTCACGGCAGGGAAAATGGCCGCGGATCCTGTTTGTCACCCGATCTGGCGTTCGCGAACGGAAGCAAAATTTTGTGAACAGTGCTGTTCGTGACCCGAATTGGTCGTGAACAGAAGCGTTTGTGACCCGAGGTACCACTGTATATATAAACAGGGAGCAAAACCCACAATCACTTGCACTGATGATATTACCTAGTTCAGTGATGAAAAATCTATAAGCAACCAACCAAGCTCAGAGAGTACCAAGAACGCCACAGTTCAACCCTGAGCTACAGATATTATCTTCTACTGGTATAAAAGAACCTGTTGTAGCCTTTCTGGTGTTTTTCCAGTTGCTGGGATATGCTGCTGCTTGATGCTACCCCTGTCTCTCCTGTGGTAGGTGTGGGTTGCTACAAAGGCTATCTAGAGCAGATGCCATTCAACTGCCACCTTTGAGCTTCCCTTTTGATCAAGTAGCCTGCTCCTTTGCTGCTCTTCTCTGCTGCCCTAATGAGAAGTGGGGTGGGCTGTGTTGTGCTGGAATGGCATGTCCATGATTCTTAGAGGACTACTGGTATTAGAACCACCTGTTCACCATTTGCAGGCTTGCTTATTTATTTATTTGATCAACTGACTAATTGATGTTATGTGGCTGCACATCTTGTGGCACACAACTCTGGGCAGCTAACAACAGTAATAAAAACACAAGCAATAAAAACATAGAGGCTTCCACTCTATCTGTGAAATGCTGGTGACATTTGATTGCATCTACTAAGAAGGTGCTGGAACTTGCATTACCTAGTTTCCCCATTCTTGGAGGCCTTCTTGTTGTGATTCCACTGGCTATGTGACAAGGGGAAGAGATAATTCCTTCCTTGTGGGAGACTGTGTACCCACTCACTCTTTTATTTCTTCTTTCAGGGTTTTGTTGGGGGGGGAATGGGGTTAAGAAGATTAACTCGGTCCTGGATGCTCCTTCTAGGGTTGCCTTCTCACGAACAAGGAGTTACCTGTATAGTATTGGCTCTATCAATCCAGTGATGGAGAATGAAAATTATTCTATAGCTGCTGCCTTTTCTTAAAAAAAACCCTACTACAATATTTTTAATTGACTTACAGTTCAAGAAGTATATTTTTATGACAAAAGTTCAAATTCACTGAAACTAGAAGACTGGAAAAGCAACCAAATGATAGCCTTAAGCTATTTAATTGTACAAGCAGGAACAAAGACAGTTTATTCAAAACAAGAACAAGCTATTTCAATGTTGGAACATTTTTCTCAGCAAACTATGCCGTACTATATGTGTGTTTACTTATGTGTGCCTCTGTGTGTGTGTGTGTGTATGTTTGGTTTTGAGTTAGTACTAAAGATATAGTGAACACAGCTGCCCAGCCAAATTGGAGGAATTATAAAACAAATATGAAAACTGGCACAATTCCCAAAGGCAACTCTAGCAACTACTCATCAAAAACAAAAATATTTTAAAATTTCGGTACCTGCCAAATTTTGCTTAGCTTTTTTTAAAAAGGTTAATATGGTAAAATGACAGCAGTAGTTTAAAAGCTTCAAACTCAGTCACAGGTTCAATTCTTATGTTTTATGCCTAGCGTGGTTCCTTTGGCAGTAACCAATCCAATAGAAATTAGGGTTCATCTTGATATTATTTAATTTTGCCAAGTGAAAGCATATTTGTGTCAAATATTTTCTATGTGAAATGTATGGGATGAGATCATCTTGTGAAGGCAGCAGCAAGGAAAACAGAAATACAATTTGGGACTGTTTCTGCAAGAAAAATGAATCTATTGGTTGCTTTCATATGAAGTTTCACAGTTGATCTAAAGGACAATTAATTAAGGCTTGCATGCATCAGACCTTGAGTCAAAAAATCCAATTTTCCAAGTCAGAAGAAAGGGAGAAGATGGAATTCTGTCCAACTGAACAGGAAGAGCAAAGTAGTGGAAAAAGCACTAGTCGTAGCCCCAGAAAAGATATTTCAATATACTTCAACCTCAGTTTATATAAGTATTAGACCCAATTCAACCTCAGTTTATATAAGTATTAGACCCAATCTATTCTTTAGATCATTTTACCACTGAGAATTCTGGAAGCTTTGCTCAAACTCTTCTGGAAGACCCCAAGTTGGAAGATTGTAACAGACATATTACTTCAAAGAATGTATGCATATCTGAATGATTGTCTGTTGAAATTTAAAAAGTGGCAAGTTACCTACACTTTTTGCTCTGTTACACTGATTTCCTAATGTACAGGGACTTTTTTAAAATAAAGAAAGAAGCATACATAATCTCCATCGATTTTCAGCCTGAAACAGTCCAGTTTGGGAAAAACCATTGTCCCTTAATCCTGCTGAATGTGCAAGCTCACTCTAAGAATTCCTCATTTGGCACAAATAAGAACAAAATGTTTTTGTAAGAGTTGCAGATATAAAGATGCTGACAACAAGCTATAACTTGTAGGCTCCTATTAATCACTATGGACTCAGTCAGCAAGGATTACACTTGTGAAGAACAGAACACATTTAGACTGCAAACTGGTAGGCACAGGTGCAGACATCTGCAAAGTCCCATCTATCTTTTTTTTTCTTTTCAACTGGAGAACAGTGAGAGGTATGCAAAGGAAATGACCGTATTTCCCCTCATGGAATAATTTTAAATTTCTTCTTACCCGCTATGGTCTCCATTCAGAAGTCCTGCAATAGCACCAGGAAGTTCGGACTTAACAACATAAAGATAAGTAGACATAGCTGCAAATATGGAACCAAGCATTAGTTGAGTAAGAATACTGGCAATTCTACATTTGGACCTATCAGTTCAGAGTAGAGAGGGGAGAAGAAGTTCTATGCTTCATTAAAGTGTGTGACACCACCAAAATAAACCAACTGTCATCCTTCATATATTTCTGAGAAAAGTTCAGACATATTTATAACATGAATACATTTGTTTAAGAAATAACTGAGCTGTGAATTGCTCTACCTTTGAACTAGCACCAAAGCAACCTTCTCAACTTGGTGCCTGGCAGATGACTTGGACAAGAAGTTCCATTGGGGATGACTGGAGTTACAGTCACACACATCAAGAGGCATCAGATTGGGGAAGGCTACTCTATATCATTGCTTATACCATGTAGATAAAGTAATGCCATTTATTCCTACAGGAGGTAGGGAAATGAAAGATGTAGCTAAAATCAGCCTGTGACATTGATTATTCAGCACTGAGGCTGATGAGTTATTGCAATAGATTCTCTCTCTACCATCCTTATCATTAAGATGGGCATTTTACAAGTACATCAATAACACTTGAGTTTTGTGACTATCAACTGATTTGTATTCTTCATTTAATACCAACTTGTTTTGACATTTGCACTAGAAAACCAGGCATTTGAAATCCTTGGGAAAATAATACCCAGGTATAAACCAGCTATTCGTTAAGGAGTCCTTCATGGTTTTTGATAATAAAAATCACACATATTTATGCCACCTTGTTATTAAATTAAAACAGTAAATGGCAGCTACAAAATTTTGCAGCCCTGAAATAAAGATTATACATTTTGAAATACACGAATATGACATCTATAAAAATGTACTGCATTAAACCAGAATGCCATGTACCTATAGCAAGGTGAAATTAAAAACAGTTGTGAGGTCACTAAATAAGGAAGCATTCATGTATTGAATCACTGAGGTTTCTCCAACTCAAGCTGGCCTTCCCAACTGACTAAGTCTTAGGAAGACATTTTATTTAATTTTGCAATTTTATCCTTTTTTTCCCCCAAAAAAGGAGATATGATAAAGTGTTATAAGGGCACATAATCTGAAAATTATGAGCATATCTAAAGACAGCTAACTGCTACATTTTCTGATGGTGACCAAAACGCACCAATTAATGCAAAGAGGAATTTTAAAAAATAATAGCAAACAAATGGGAATTACTTATGCTTCAAAACACCTCACCCTAATTTCCACTAAGTAGCTACACTGTGCATATCTTGAAGTGAGAGATCAAATATGCCACAGCTGGTTTTTTAAAGTCACATCAGCTCTCTTAAAAAATAAAAAACAAAAAACCTTCAACTGATTTCTAGATCAAATTTCCTGCTAATATATAATCTGTCACTCTTTCCCATGCATTTATTTTAGCCTCTGGCTAGTCATTTGATCATTTTTATCCTCTGTTGTGTGATTGACCCTTTTGTTTCCTAAACAACAGCGCTACTCCTTTGAATACCATTCTCTCTCTCAAAAAAAAAACAACCCATCTCATCTGTTATACTCCACTGTCTTTATATAAACTAAAAGGTTTGTGTTCAACCTCTCATATACAGTGTTCCTTTTTTCTTCTAGACAATAAAGGAAATGGATGCCAAATTAATGAATATATTTATGCCTTTAGGCTTCCTTAAGACAGAGATTCTTTTTTGGCAACTCACGAGCAAATGATACTATTTGGACAAGCGTACTTTATCCACAGTTTAAAAAGTTAAGTTAAAGGGTTGGTGATACTGTTTCTCCCATGCCTTCTGCATCAAAGGAAAGATTTCACATATAAAGATCGCCACCAGATAATAAACACTATAAAGCCACCATCCAGCAATTTGAAACAGCATATTCAGAAATAAAAAGTATACTGAAATGCAAACACTGCATGCTCATTAATGTTTACTAACCTAAATTATAATATTCACAGCTGCTGTCAGTTGCAAAAACAAGATTCAAAAAATAGTGCAGCACTACTCTGTACAGACTCATTATTCTAATTGCCAATTGAGAAGTAGCCAGAAATTAACTTCCCTTTATGTGTAATTTTAAATAATTATCAATGTGTTATTGAAGATGGAATCTTAACCTATCGTACAAATTAGCTCTTGTCTAGAGATACTTAAATTGATTCAAAGCTTTTGTCTTCTATGTAGGTTCACAGATCAAAGTTTTATAGGCAAACGTTGGACTGGTTGCTATTGGTGACAGAATGCTGGATCAAATCAGTTTGGACTTATATATCTGTCCAAGCTTCGCAATGGCCTGATTTTTTTCCCTTTTATTTTTGTGAATGTGAATTGTTGTAGGTTTTAATTGTATATTTATTTATTGATCAAATCAGTTTGGACTTATATATCTGTCCAAGCTTCGCAATGGCCTGATTTTTTTCCCTTTTATTTTTGTGAATGTGAATTGTTGTAGGTTTTAATTGTATATTTATTTATTGTTTTGATGTGTTGTGAGCCGCCCAGAGTCCCCCATTGGGGGAAGATGGGCGGGGAGCAATTTTAATAAATAAATAAATAAATAAATAAATAAATTTTATGTATGAGCTTAAATTTGCTGTTTGCCTTTGTCTTAGCATGACATATAAATCCATCCATATGCTAATTAGGCCACTTCAATTTGCTCAACAAACCAGTTTAAAAAATCCTTGCTTAATGCTATGTCCAATCTGTTCCACTCCCTGTAGATTCATGATATCCTTTACTATGCTTGCAAACATGCAGGATATCTGCACTTCTTTATGAGCTTTTAGGACGAGCACACTCCATCCTAAAGTTAGAAAAACTCGGCTTTCATTATACCAGTGTTTCTCAACCTTGGGAACTTTAACACGTGTGGACTTCAACTCCCAGAATTCCCCAGCCAGCCAGCTGGGGAATTCTGGGAGTTGAAGTCCACATATCTTAAAGCTCCCAAGGTTGAGAAATAATGTATTATACTATTATTTTCCATGTTGCACTGTTGTCACTGAAACCAGGTAACAGTCTAAGTCCTTTTGATGAAAGACGAGCAAATGAGTTAAAGATTGCCAATGGGATAGCCCACATATATTCAGTGGGCTTGGTGAAAGTAAAAATCCTACAATTCCCTCATCCCAATTCTACAGCTGAGACATGGGAATGTTAAGCCTATTGCACTTTGCTCCTGGCAATTTTGAATACATTCAGCATTTCTCTAATGCATAGGATCAGTATGTCAAATATGGCATCAATTATGTCTGTTTCCGAACATGGCTCAGGGTCAGAATGTCTGCTTTCCCATTTAGTCTTTTAAATTCTAAACTGGTAAATGTGGATGGGGTTTGGGTTTCCTGTGCAACTCCCACTAAACTGCCCCAAACTGATTTCACATAAACCACCACAATCCTACCATATATCTCATGGAGACTCAGATAACCCTTCAGCAACTTAGTGTGCAATGATTATTTTTTTTCCAATAATGGAGTGGGGGGGGGGGGAACTTCAAGGCTGCAGCAATCAGCTTATTTCCATAGATCAGAAACTGACTTGTACGTACAGGTTGTAATTCTGTTTCTGAAGCTAAGCAGATTTGATATTATAAGCTTCCAGGATGGGCCACTATGCCAAGAAACCTCTATTAATTGACCTGAGTACTCCAGAGAGAAAGCGTAATAAGGCATCTACAATGATTTTAATAACAACAAAGGACTATTCTCTTGGGCTATTAAGCCAACTTAATATAACTTTAATTGTTAATGTTTATTGTTATTTATTTATTAAGCGGTGATGGTTTTATTTAAGGTTTCTCCCTTTCCCTTCCATGTGAGCATGAAAAATGGTGCCACTGTTTAAGAGGCATCTTAACTTCAATGAGTAGCGGCATCATTTATTTGGACTCTGAACCCTGAAACACCTTGGGCTACTTTAAGGATGTGCTGCACTTTCAAAAGGTCTGAAACATTTTAAATTTTCTGAAGCTTGCAGAACCCTCTTAAACTAAGTACAGGAAGGCAAATGTAATAGGTATAATGGAACCTACTATGATTGATACATAGCAATTAAAGGGTACAATTTGTTCAAAAAGACAGACACAACAAAAAGGAATGAGAAGTTGCATTGATGGTAAAAGTACTCACATCTGCACAAAAATCCGAGTGAATGAACTTAGTGATATTGTAGTCAGCATTTGGATTACAATAAGTCAAAATAATACTGTTGTTAGTCTACTACTGTCCAGTCAACCAAGCAAAAGATGTGAATGATGCTTTACAAAAGCAAACTGCTGATCTTTCCTCACATCTGCTGGAATACCATCTCTGCCAAGCAAGGTTCTTCCAGGAAATTCCTAACTTATTTTCAGACAACTTTCTCCTTTAGAGGTTAACATACAAGAGAATTTACTGTGCTTGACCTGATACTAAAACAGTAAGGAAGACTTAATAAATAAAATGGGAATAGTAAATAAATTGGGGAAAACACATAATGTTGGAATTCTTGATTTTAAGGCAAACTAAAGCCAGGTTTAGTCAAATATGCATTTTGGACTTCAAAATAAGCAGATTTTACTAAACTCAGGACAATGATAAACAGAATCCATAACACAGAAGCTAATGGGAAAAGGAGTGCTGAGAGAGTTCCTAAAAATGAAGATAACATAATGGCAAACAATTCAAATGAAAGGGAAAAAATGGAGAACAGCAGAAGCTAATATGGCTGTTCACAAACCTTGGTGAAGGTCAGAAAACAAAGTAACAAAAAAAAGGAGATACAGGAGGCAGAAAGAGGGACAGGTCACAAAGTAAGAGTAGCCTGGAAGAGTAGAGAGAGTATCAGCAAAGCTCATACTCAGAACCAGCTACGGCTGGCAAAGGATGCTAAGAATAGCACAAAGGTTTTGTTTTTCCCGATATGAACAAAATAAAAGGAACAAAAAAGAAACTAAATATAACTTAGCAGTGTGATGTGGTTGCAAAAATCTAATTTTAGATTGCATCAACAAAAGCATGGATCCAAATCATGGGATATAACAATTCTTCTTTATTCTGTATTGGTCAGATCT